TTATGTATGCCTAAAATGTACGAATAAACTTAATTAATGATAAAAAAATGTTCAACCTAGACCGCTATATCTCACCATGCACTACATAAAGATGGAAATGTAAAAAAAAATCTAAACATCAGAATAGACACCTAATCTGATGGAAGACAAAATAGATAAAACTCTGGAAGACATAAGTGGAGGCAAAACTTTTTCTTTTAACAAAACTCTGATTAAACAAGAAATAATACCTAGAATCAACAAATGAGATCACATTAAATTAAAAAGCTTACATACAATAAACAAAACCCCAAAAGAATGAAGAGACAACCTACAGAATGGGGAAAATGTTTTGCCAGCTGCCTCTCAGACAAAAGACTAATATAGAATATATAAAAAATTAAAAATAATTAGATCCCCCAAATATGAAAACCCAATTTAAAAATGGGCATCTGAAATAAAAGAGATATCTTAAATGAAGACATTCAAATGCCCAGTAAGTACATGAAAAAATATTCAACGTCGTTGACCATTAGAAAAATGCAAATTAAAACAATACTGACATCCCATCTCACTCCAGAAAGAGTGACTGCCATCAAGAAATTAACCAAGGGCTGGGGAGATAGCTCAGTAGAATAAGCACTTGCCTAGCAAGTGCAAGGGCCTGAGTTCAATCCCTGATTCCACCAGAGAGATAGAGAGAGATAGAAATGGAGATGGAGAGAGAGAGAGAGAGAGAGAGAGAGAGAGAGAGAGAGAGAGAGAGAGATTAACCAATAACAAATGTTGGTGAAGCTGGAGGGGAAAAGGAACATTCTCCGTTGTTGGTAGGACTAAAAATTGATATGATCGGTATGACAATTCCTCAATGAAGTAAAAATAAAAATTCCACGTGACCCAGGCATTTCCCTTCTAGGTAGCTTCCTCAAAGGCTTAAATACATCATTACTCAGTGATGTATGCATATTCATGTTTATAGATGCATAATTCATAATAGCTGAATCTTTTACCAGCTATATGTTTATCAACATGTTAACGGACAAAGAAAATGTTGTATTTAAACACAATAGAGTTGTGCTGCACAAGGTCCTGAGTTCAATCCCCAGTACCACCAGAAAGAAACAACAACAACAACAAAAAACAAAACAAGCACACAGCTTACATATTGTATGGTTTCTCTTTTATAAAAAATTCGATATATAAGCAAAGTATGAAATAAAGCTGGATAATAGGAAAAAGGGGTATGTATTATAATCCAATGCAGACATTGTATCTAAAAGTGTGTCTTGGCTTAGTACAATTGCCTTACATGTTTTATATATTCCTTGTCCTATTAGTATTATTTTAATTCTGTATATATGATAATTAACTTCATAGGGTCCTATCATTGATTTATAGGACACTATGAAGTTAATTATCATGTGTAAAAAATTAAAATAATACTAATAGGACAAGGAATATATAAAACATGTAAGGCAGGATATCATGTCTGTATCTTGTACAATGAATAACCACTAAGACAACAATATGCAATGTATTAAGTATTGAAACTGTCCTACTAATTGGTTTTGAAACTGTCTCATTGCTATTTGTTTCTCAATAAAATTATAAAATTAGTTTCATAAGAAAAAATAAAATTATAGATTATTTAAAAAATAAGAATAAACAAGAAAAAGAGAAAGTTATTTTTTCGAGAAAACTATTGAGTTTTATCCTTAGATTCTTATTACCATATAATTACCTTAGTGTTCAACCACATGTCCACCTTTTGTCATTAACTTCCTTTCTCCCAAAAGGCAAACATCACATGAGTGGGAATCTTTTGGGTCTGTTTTCTTTACTGATAAATATCACCTGCACACAGCTTCTGAGGCTCCATGTTGTGTTTTAATCTGTCTAATTCTGTGATCACATATTCTCAAGAGGTTGGGTAGTAAGAAAGAAAAGGAACTCATTTCTCACAGTTCTGGAGTCTGGGGGGACTCAATATCAAAGCTCCACCATTTCGTGAGGAACTTCTTGTTACAAGGTGAGGGTGTTCTATCACAAGGGAGCGCGTGAGACAGTGAGGGTAGAAGCAAGGCCAAGCCAAGGAAGCTGGACTCGCTTGCACTAGGACTAACTCTGGCAGTCACTAACCTGTTCTTGTGATAATGGTCTCATCTCCTCATGATGAGTCCCCATGAGCCATCACTTCTCAGAGATTCCTGCACACATAAATTTGGAGGTGATACTCAATCTATAGGTATTCAGTAGATGTCCATGGACCAAAATAATTCTAATACACATTTCTTCATCATTTATCCATTTCAGTTGTTCCATGTACTTTTCCCAGATTTTATTTTTTAATTTCTTTTCCATGCAGTGCTACTGTTATCCACAATAATGGACAACATAGCTAGGACGAATAATTTAAATAACCACTAAACACAATTTAACCTCCTTCCTACATTTTTAAGTAATGGAGTTGACTGTTTATAATTTCTTCTTTATCCATTTCCCCTGGCCATATTTTTGTGAAAGTGCTGTTGAACAAGTGGTTATCCTGGACACCAGGAGAGAATAGAAACAAAGTTCTGTAATCAGCCCATGCATGCGAAAGGGTTAACTGCACATAAATTGTTTAACTCACTAAGGAAGTCCCCATGAAGGAATTATTATTCATAATAACCTTCTAAAACCATTAATCATAACTTAATGATTTATATTCAACAATCCATTGAAGCTTCTCAACTTTCAATTATTATGAACTCTCAGTCATTTCTAGTTAAAAGATAAATTGCTTCTCTTCAGTTCAATAGTTTAAAAGCACTAAATTAGTTTATGTAGTCTAACCAAACTCATCTATCAACAACTGTAAAATCCAGGAAGTTTGACAGTTATTGTACATTTGGTAGCATTAGTTACTCTAACAGGATAAAATGTTTTCCTGTGCATTTGTATTTGTTCCTATTGGTGAGCTATTTCTCTTTCCAGTCACTAAAATCGAGCATTGAGCTTGATTGTCCTCTTGCAATTGGGACTACTTATTACTTTTAAATAAGAGGTCATTCTGCAGCATAGATTTTTCTTGTACCCGTAGTGAGATAAGATTCTTGTATCCAACCACTGAAAGTGGGAAAAGGTTTTCATAACAAAAGCCTCACTTACTACAGGCAACCCTTGATATTATGTGTAAGCTACTTCGAAAGAAAGAAGAAAAAACAATTACAACCATCAGCTAATATAATCATTCAACGGAGGACACGTGTCACTAGACACTTGCACAGATAGATTAGTGGAAAGCTAAATGCAGAGGCTCGTGGCTAGATTTGTACTGAGAATTTAATATATTTGATACAGGGAATCATTACACAACTTGGACACATAGTGATCCTCCTGTTTTCAGCCTCCCCAGTGCTGGGATTACAGGTGTGCACCACCATGCCTGGACTTGGTGGTCAGCTCATTGTGCCCAGGGGTGAGGCATGTGGTGCTGGGGATTGACCAATCCTGGTCCCTGTGCTTGCCTGAGCAAGCACTTATTCCACTGAACTACCTCACAAACCTTCCATACAAAGAATTTCGAAAAGGAGTGGAAAGAAAAGTATGAATATGGGGAAGAAACCACCGAGGAGGCAGAAAGTAAGGTCCAAATAAGCTCAAGCTGCAGGCCTCAGTTCCTCGTGACTTATGTGAGGACTAGAATTTCATGAGTTCCCACCTAATTCCTAGTGATTCCCTAGTAGTTCACAGATTCAGCCAAGGACATTGTCACCACCAGCATAGCAAGTTTCCACAGGACAGGCACTCTAAATATGGGGGAAAATGGAGAGTGTTGCTGAGACTAAACAAGAAATTAAACTCTACTATGTCAGCTGACATGGAGGATTCTGAGGCAGACACAAGAGGCTTGCCTTTTCTAAGACACTACTGCATATATTGTCCAGAGGAGGCAGAGGCTGATCCATCTCAGAAATGGAGCAACATCACTGCTCCTCAGCTGGAGACCAACAGGATTCAACAGAAGGCACACACAGCCCAGAACCATTTTCTCCAAGGCATGGGACCACTTCCATCAAGAAGTATCGGCAGATAGAGGCTGGGGAGATGGCTCAGTAGAATAAGCGCTTGCCTGACAAGCCTAAGTGTCTGAGTTCAATCCCCGGTTCCGCAAAAAAAAAAAAAAAAGTAAAGTATCGGCAGAAAGAAGACCCCCCAGAGAGAACTGAACTTTTAATTGATTAAATAGAAAAATTTTCTGCTATTTGTAAATGTAACGATTTTTTTTGCTTAATTTTATTGTTTTTCCTTATTATGAACATAAATCAATATAACAATTAAATCATTTATATGCATCAAAGACATCGATATTCTTTGGACATCTGAGCCACATATGCAAATACACAATTTTTCCATGGACTTATTTTGAAAACTGGTAAAAACAAATAAAGTAGTTAAAAAGCTAACTTCTATTTGGTTAGACAGCAAAGACACCTCACATACGTATCTTACCAAAATAACATGAACTGTACTAAATTGTCCTACATTTTGGCCAAAGTATACTAATTACCTGTGAACACTTAAGATACTGTTTAAAATTATTTAACAATTGGAAATAAGTAACATTTATTTCGTATTGTAGAACAGAAAAGATAGATATGAAAACAACCTTCATTTGACAGTGTTTACTGCTGTGCTAGAAAATACATAAAATTTGTTTTTATTTGGTAAATTAACTGAGTATCACTAGAACATTAGACTTCAATTAACAATTTTCCAATTTTCAAAATTTTAGATAATAATTTCCCTGTATAATTTCTAAAACTTTATCCAACATTTAAAAGACTAATCATGATTTGCACATACATCTCTCAGTTAGATATTCTTATTAGCATATTATACTTTTGCATTTTCACAAACTAAATATTAAAAGGCCTGGGGAACAGAAACAAAGATAGAGAAGAGAAATTCTTCAAATTTAAAATTAAATACACATTAGGATATTGTTTTGCTTATATTTTCCAGACAAAGATACTGAATTGGTTAAACATAACTTTTATTTTAAACAAAAAGTGACTTTCATTTATTTACAGATAACATGAAATTTGGAAGATAATATAACTACTTTTTAAAATGAAATTACAAGTTGGATTGACACCAACTCTGTACAACTAAATGAATTAATCATGTTCTAATGCTTTAAAATTACCTTCCAGATATTCTGAAGACATCCAAGTACAGAGCTCTACCACATAAATTAGGTCCCATATGTTAGCAAAATTCATTTATCATACATACATCATTATATGAATATGTTATAGATGATCTCAGCATTGGTTCTTTCTTTGGTAAACGGTGAGAATTATGACAAATGAAAACAGCGTATCAGGGACATCAAGTCAGCTTTGATCCCATTATTAAGGAAACCATATAGAATTGGATTGAGACAACAGGACATCATGCCTAACAAATGACAAATGCAATATACCAACTTAAAATGCCTATTTGAAATAAGGTTATCATTGAAATCAGTCACCACGTGAAAAAGGTGTAGTGGCATCCAACTAACGGCAAACACCAATATGAGTATGGTCAGTCTGTAGAAAACACTTCGGGATCTCTTTTTTATTCTTGTGACAGAACGTTTTACTCTCATTTCATGAGCATCTGAATTTTCCTCTGGTTTTATCTCAAAGCAAGTGGGGATCCCTGGTATGAACTTACTAGAAGAAGAGAGCTGGCTTCTCACAGAGCCAAAATTTTCTGGAAGAGTCCTTGAATGGTTCTCCTGGGAAGGCCTTGCTGGAGCAGGTAACACACAAGCCGTCTTCTTGCTGTATCTTCTCCTGTGTTTTCTGATGAAAGAATAACTCCACTTATGGCTGCTGGAGAGTTTCACCTGATTCCCACTCTTTTTGGATGGATGAACAGTTAAGTTGATCATCTCATTTTCTTCCAGTCGGTTTTCTTTGTCGGACAACCCACAGCTTATGCTCCTGCAGACACTGGTATGACTTACAGTCAGACAAACTAAGGGCAGAATATACTGAACTAGCAATAATGAAATAGTAAATGCAATTCTGTATGAATCAGACGGCCATGCCTCCACACACAAATACCTGCTGCTCAGCAATGCTGAACCGAATGTTTCCTGAAGTTCCACAAGGCTGTGAAACACTGGAAGAGGAGAACAAATGGCAAAACCTAATGTCCAGACAGTGGCTATAAGGAAATAGCCATGGTTGGCAGTTAAATTGTTGGAAATAGGATGCTTTATCATATGGTACCTGACAATGGCAATGGATATTAAAATTAAAGTCGAAACCAGAACAGACACACATTGAAGGAAAGGCATAACATGGCACATCACCTTGCCAAACATCCACTGATCCAGCAAGACAGAGGTCAGTGTGAAGGGGGAGCAGAAGAGCACAACCAGGATGTCAGAGAAGGCCAGGTTTCCTATGAGAAAGTTGACTGTGGTCTTCTGATTATGCTTTTTGATGAGAGCCATTAAAATAAGTAGATTGCCCATAAAACCAAGAAGACTGACAAATGTATAGAGCCCAATCAGAAAGTACTGTAAGTCATCTACACTGCTTCTGTAGTCATCCCAGACTGGGAAATCAGAATTCCGAGTGGTAGCAGTATTATTCTCTATGGCAAGAGTCTTGTTATAATATTCCGTGAGCCCCAAATCCATATTAGAGTCCTGCTTGGAATAAAAAGACATTCATTAGCATCTTGAAGTAAAGTACATGGATATTATAACTTAAACCATTCCGAAGGAAACTAAGTTGTAGTTTGTTCCCGTTGCCTTATTACTTCCCTAAGAAAGTTTAGTGAGGCTTTTACTTGATTCCAAGTGCAGTGCAAATTCTGTGGGGAGCAAGTAGAGGAAACTAAAGCCTATCATCAGTTGTGTACTGTGTTAATTGGTGCTAAAAAAAATAGTGTAAGGAAATTAAAAAGCAAATGTAGGTAAGAATTTTAAGATACATTATTTGTAGTAGCTCCTTACAGCAGTATTATTCTCTGGTCAATATACCTGGCACATGGAATCGTTACTTAAAATTTCTTTCTTATATGATGCCATATAAGGGCAAATTATTCCCCAATCTACCAGAGGATGTAATATCTTCTTCAGAACTCCCAAAATACTGCGATTATAACTGTCTGATGTTGCAAGTCGTAATCTGTTCTATACTGCAGTTCCATAATGCCTGGAATCTGTAACTGTCCTCTACTACCATGGTATCCATCATAACACCTGGCATGGTAACTGCACCACTGCAGGTGTCAGATAAATATTTAGAAGGGAATGAAAACTCAAACAAAAATCTAGCAACGTAAGCATGACCCAGTTTAGGCAGTGTTCAAATTTAAGCTTCTCTGGTGTAGGACACTATCTCAGGAACTAGATATCTGTAGTGGGCACATTAAAAACACTTATCAAGCTGCACTATCATTATGTGAATTCAAAGCTGGATGATAAACTCATTTGAACTCAATCTCAGTCCTGGGAGATATGCTAGGTTAGCATGAATCAGGGGAACCTCAGACTGGCAGAGTGCTCTTGGTGTTTTTAAAACATAAAGTTTAACTGTTGGCTTATTAATATAAAAATTACATATAATTATCAGCTTAAGAAAGATTCCATGGATTTTCATTATTTAAGCAAAATGTTGTCTTTTTTTTTTTTCCTTTTTGTATTTTTAGGGAAGGGTCTACAGGGTGTTCAGTGTCGCACTACTAGATCAGACTCAAAATGATCCTCTTACTTACAGCCTCCCAAGAGCTGGGATTACAGGCATGCGCCACCATGCCCAGTCTCAATCACTAGCTCAGTGTGCCCTGGCAATAGGGCTAACAAGGCAGGCCGGGGGATCGAACTCCCGATACAATGTCTGCTTGCAGGCACTTTAATCTGTTGAGCTATTTTGCCTCCCTTAAGCTAAATATTGTATTTTGAAGCTAAACGTAGAAATGATTCTAACACAACAGCCATAGAAAGATTTTTTTCATTAAAATGAAATTAATATCACATCATAACGGGATTACCCATTTACCTCTCCTTATTAGATATTTTATGGTACTAAATGAAGCATTAAATAACCTCCAACATATTAATAAGAGACAAAAATCTTTATTCCTTTTAATAAAAGCAAGCACTCCTACTTTTTATAAGAATTTCTTTCAGAACATTGAAGACTGCAAGTTAATTAATTCTCAAGAGTGTATATTGTTACAGAAATCTTGATATTGATTATATATGGCATTTTTGCTATATATCAGTATACATCTATCTAATTATTTCTAGATATAAAATTTAAAAATTATACTTAAAACTCTAGATAGTCATATATATTTAAATTAACAGTAAACACTGTTATCTGCAATTTATGAGTGATTTGTAGGTTCTGGTCCAAGACTTTCCCAAAGAGGAAATCCTACCATACATATAGATTCATTACAGATAGGTTTAACATCAGGATTTATATGCAACAAATTTTATACAGGATGATATCACATATCATCACACTTTGAGAAAACTGAAAGCTTTTCACAATTCATACCACTGATTTCTTGTTTCGTTACCTTCAGAAGCTCAGTGCAACCCAATAGAGGTAATTTAAAAACCCAAGCTAGTATTCGTTTGTTCCTAGACCTGCCCAACAATTTCCATGGACACTGCCTTTAGAGAATAAAAGGTTCCTGGTACAGTAGTGACTCACAGACCCTCCTGAATCATCTCATCTTCAGATGACAAGGCAGTAGCTTCCCAGAACCTCCCCTGAATAGGTCAGTGAGCTAATGAAAGCAGCTCTGACTGGTATTTCTGCCTAATTTCCTGAGATCTGATGACCCCCTGGATCAGCCCAGCTTGTTTACCATCCCATTTCTCCGTGTAAGGTGCGCAGGCTATTTGTAACTGTGTTCCTGCTTCAGGGTTCTTTTGCTTCACTTCCTTCAGTTAATCCCTCTCTCCTTGCTTTGCAGTAGGTCTATAATTGCTATTTACCTTGTCTTCTCCTACAAAGCAAGGAGAAGAGAGAAGTTACACAGCTCCTCCTTCAGTAGCTTTGTGCTCTCTTGGAACATAGCACTCATTTATGGCAAAATTGCCATCTCCATTGATTTGAAGATGGAAGAAACAGCACAATTTATAGCAATAGACGTTGAACCTAAAATTTAGATTATTTCCAGGATATGGGATCAAAGCTTAGAGATAAAAGAAAAGCTTTAATTACTTTTATGATGTGGAGTTGCTAAACAAACTATGTTATGCATAATGGATGCTAAGTAATATTTCTGAATAATCACTTTACAAAAATAGTTTAATTTTTTCAGCCATAAAATAACAGCAATGAATCACCAAAAGGGATATCCAGGGGATATATAGTGTCCACTAAAATTAGACAACTTTTAAATGGACCCAAAAGGAAAAGAGGAGATACTTACATAGAAAACAATTATACTTAAGCATTTTACCTATTAAAATTGTCTATCTTCCTTAATAAAGGCTATCACATAACCAACATTAAATTAAAATGGCAAACTACATTTAATTGAAAGTGTCTCTGCTTGCATAGTCTATTAGGAAAACTACTTTAAATATATGAACATGAAATATTAAATTCATTAGTTTATAAAAGCCACTTATCCCTTAGTGAGAAGACGACAAATTACGATGCTGACTATTCATTGGGCACTGGGGAAAAGTGAGGATAACATTTGAGTATTTTAAGAAAGTACATTATTTCCATAAACTTTTTTATTTCCATAGATAAGTCAAAGTCGTGCTTCCTTTTTTATTCTCTAAGCATTCGGAGGCCACCTAATATGCTAGGGGCTCTGCTCTGCTGGCACAGAGTTGGCCACTCCCACTGGCTCTTAAGCAGAAAATATCCTTTTTTTCAGTACCAGGGATTGAACTCAGGACTCTGCGCTTGCCAAGCAGGAACTTATTCCACTGAGCTATCTCCCTGGCTGGAAATATTCTAGAGGGATTAATTCACCATTCAGTAAGCAACCGTAGAAGGTCTGAGATACAAAAGTTCCTCAATTAATGATATTCCTAGGATTGCCACTTACATATTCTTTTCACTACAACACACAAGTCTGCACTTCTGCTGAATACAATGGCTACCTATGAAATTATACATTAACTAGTAAATTACCTTACTTTTCCTTAGGTTTTTCCCTCTTGCAGCATTCATTTATTCATGTGATGCGTACTCACTTTATAGTGGTGTGATCATGTGACCGTATTTCTCCTGTGCTAGCCCCTTCCCCTTCATCCATCACAGAAATGCAAGCACACACAAGTACTTACCTCGCACTTTACACAAAATGAACAGTCTGGGAATCTGTGTTCCAATGAATATTTCTTCTCACAGCTAAATGATAGTTATTGTAACTGGGGGTAGGAATGCTCAGGCTAATTAGTTTCTTGAAAATTGCCTCCTTGTAGTCAAGAAATCAATTAAACATTAAGGAAAGTTTGTTAAAGAAGATCTAAATTGTCTGTTTTAAAGTGGAAAAATCTAAGGTGAAAGAGCTATTTTCAAATCATATTACTAAACTAATCACAAAAGATTTCTTTCCTTGTATTTACCACTTTACTTCCCTTTTTCCTGAAAAGCACAAGCAAAGCTACAGTGGGAATCCACACATTAAAGCTCTGCTTCTCAACCGGTGTCATGATAAATGCTACACTATTTTTACAGCATGAATATTTTGTACATAATAAAAGTCACGCAATATATGAACCTTATTTCACACATGGCTACTACAGACATTAGCAAATGAAGCTAGCAAGAGTGTCTTGACTATGAAATAAAGCAATACCAGTTCTAGAAGAAATCAGTAGATTGGACTGTGTGAAACCTTTCCTGTATGTTTGTATACAGTTATATCTCGCTCCCTCAAAATCCTTGGCTGAAATATTTTACTTTAATTCTCTAAACACAGAAGTAGAAAAAAAGTGTTTTACATTGTGGTAACTTTGATAAAGCAATGCTTTGGTATTAAAAAGTTACTGTAATTTTCTTATAATTGATCTATATCTGATGTGCAGACAAATGAAAATTCAGTAAGCCATTTTTGTTTTGTTTTGTTTTGTTTTAAAGGTAAAGAGAATGTAAACACGAACTCAAAGATATTAGAAAGCCTGCCTTGGGATTGGGGAGATGGCTCAGTGGAACAAGCGCTTCCCTGGCAAGAGCCCAGTTCAGCCAAAAAAAAAAAAAAAAAAAAAAGAAAGCCTGGCTTATTCATTTAAATACGGTTTCTTTGTTAAGTAATTTTCTGCCTTATAAAAATGCACATTATTCTCACAAAGAATGTCAGTCACATAAAATATTAAAATATGCATTTTTGCCTTCTAGCAATGATAAAATATCAACTATTGCCTGTTTACCTGTGATGTTGGAACATGGCAAGATGCCATGATCCCTGATAGTCCCATAATTAAAGCTGAAATTCGACAAAATTGGATAGATAATTACGGCTTTGCTGAGATCACAAACATATAAGCACGCACCACCCACCCTTTGCAATTTTAACAGCAGCTTTTCGTCCCTGGAGAAATTAGAAATTTAAGATTATATTCAGCTTGCCAAATAGCCTTAGTCTATTTAGAGCCTTAGAGTACTTCTGTGGAGACTGGCACAGGTTCTCTGGCTTCGAGCTCATATGATGCTCCTGCTTATAAACTTGGGGATAAGGATTCCC